TTTATTTAGTTAGACCCTTTAGATAGAGATTGACACTATGACCTTCGGTAATCACGTCTCATTCTACATGATTAGTGATATTTTGCAACTAACATCCATCATCATAAGAGACAAAAGCCCAATTTTTGCACTATATATTTCGCCATTGTTTATTGGCGACTTACTAAACGTTTTTAAACTAAAGGTTTACAAAAATGCTTAACCATGTTTGGATCTAGTCTTCTCAAGGAGATTTGTAGACCACTAACGTAGATAATCTGTGTCGAATAACTGAGGGGCAACTATCGTCTAAGTCACACCTCGCGGTTAGTGCCTAACGCAGTATGCACTTTTGTCGTCTATGTACTATGGTTGTTTGATGACTGTACAACACAAGCGACATTGTCACAGAAATATATTAGCAAGAGTAGGTACAAGGAATTAAAAGTGTCAATTTTTGCATGAATCAGTCCATGGTGTGCGATTAACTGATGCGCGTTGGTTGTCCTTGAAATTGACTAGAATCAGTGGATTGTTCAACATTCAGAGACCCGACTGCTGGATGATTTGGCTAGGACCCAGTGACACTTCGATGGCCTTACAGACTTTTACAGGTTACATCACTAAATTTCAGGACTTCGTCATTTACAATAGTAGTATATGTAGAATCCTGATAATAAAAAAGTGGTAGCTCTCTACCCAACTCTTACTCTCTGGGTGGTTTCAATATTACACTCCTCACTACTCTAAAGAATCGGACCATCGCATTATATTATACTCTTTGTGTTTCTTCACACTGGCATTATTCAACAAATACTGCTTTCTCACTCCTGTTATTCCTTCCCTGAATAGTAGGTATCCTCAAGTCAAGATTACTTAAAGTCTTTTAAATCAAGACTTGTAGGCCAGATGACCTTGAACCATGTCCTGTTACCTTACGAAATATATTGGTCTCTCGACATTTGTTCAAAGAATAGAGACTAGAAAAGTGCAATAACCAAAAATCTTACCCTACTCTGTTAGCTTGGAAGCTCTATATCTACTATAATTGAAGTACACGAGGATTGAGAGATATATATCCATGGTACCCTGCATCATTTAAAACTTTCCATGCCATAATAAATCACTAATTCGTCTCGGTAATAAGCTACACATAGGATGTCATTTAATCCAAGTACAACACTAACAAGACTACATAAAAGTTTATACAAGCCTTTACTTAATTCAAACCAGTACTTTATGGAACTGTCTATAGGAATTTACAGTGACTGTGCCTTAATGTAAACATCTTTAAACAATAATTGACGATTACTTTAATTCTATAGGCCTAAAAGGGATGTCCTGCTAGCTAGTCATTTACTGAAATCCGATGGGAACGTAAGGATACTGTCCGACATAGCGTACTCTGGGCGCAATCTCATCCGGAACGTCCCTAAAGATTCTCGAGAGAAGTTTTTCCGCGGAAGAAATATAAATGTGCATGGTGTACCGAAAAACACGGACCCTAGTCAAGCAAACTCTGATATTCGGGAATGGAAATTCATCAAACAGTCCTTGAGGCTTAACAACATACTGACTCAGCGTGTGATGAGACTAGCCAAGAAGGACGGGGATCCTAGACCCCGACTAATGAGGATAACTTTTCCATCCTCCCATATGGCGGCTGCAGCTCTGGAAGCATTTTATACCAACAGACGTTGGTTGCCAACTGGGATCCATATGCACCTGGACAGGCCATATGATGCCAGAATCAATCTCAAAGGCAAGTTGGAGCTGACCATTCCACTTGTGGACTGTCTTGAAGATAAAAAAACGTGTAAAGGACAGAGCCTACCAATTCGACAAACCTTATATAGGTAAGCTACCTGTCCACTCACGTAAGGCTCTCACGGACAAGCAGGAAGAAGCCCACGCGTTTCAAATTGAAAGCATTAACTGCTTATACATGAGCGCCGCGAGTCTACCAAACAAAATGGATGAGCTACGTGAACTAAGCAATGCTACTAAGGTTTCTCTGATAGGAATATCTGAAACTTGGATATCTTTTCAGTTTTTGGACCCGAAGCTAGCAATACATGAGATGTCTCTGTTTCGCAACGACAGAAAAACAGGAATTGGGAGTGGAGTAGCCGTATACATACGATCTGGCTTGGAAGTACACCAAGTTCACAATCATGAGTTTAACAATCTTGGAGAATCCATGCAGTGCTCTGCAAGATCGTCTACTAATTCCAGGTGCCTAGTCGGTCATATATAGGAAGCCCACTGCCGACATCGAGTATGACAGTCGTATGCTGGAAGAACTATCCCGCTCCACGCTTCACTCATATCCTGATTCTAGGGGATTTCAATCTCCCTAGAGTCAACTTCGCGGAACATACGTATACTGGAGGTGAAAATTCAATTGAAGCTCGGTTCTTCAACCTCATTGAGGATTTGGGATTATACGAAAATGTGAAGTTGGCTACTCGTTGGAGGAACAGTCAGACACCGTCGCGCTTAGACTGTGTATTTACAAATGAAGAATTTCTAGTCGACAACCTCTCAATTCTGGCTCCCCTGGGGAAAAGCGATCACGCCGTTATAGCCTTCAGTTTCGTCAGCTAAGATTTCCCAACAACAACAGGCGCTGGAATTTCAAACGGTTGAATGCGTCAGCTCTACAGGACTATCTACGACAGATGCATTGGGATGTTTACCCTCAACTTGATGTGGATGCTCATTGGAACTTCCTATTACACACGCTCTTATGTGCTACAATGCAGTCAGTCCCTCAAACGGTCCCCAAAAGCCACATGCAACCTACAATCATCAAAACCACACTCTTCGTTTGTTAAGCCGCAAAAGGCACTGTTGGGCAGAATACAAACGAACCAACAACAATGGCGAGTACAGGCAATACAAACATATGAGGAATATATGTACGAAGGCTATAAGAGAAGACAGGCTTCAGTACCAGTTAAAGCTTATGGATAAATTTATTTCCAATCCGAAAAGCTTATTCCGTTACGCAGCCTCTCTTCGTCAAGCCAAAACTGGAGTTTCTCAACTGCTAGGTCCTAACGGCCCGACCGATAACGACGGCGACGCCGCTAACTTTCTGATCGAACAATACTTCAGGACATTTCAACCGACCCACATCAACTATACTGATGACAGCTTCATCTGCAACTGCACAGGACTTTCCTTAATGAACCTGAGCGCTGACTTGGTGTTCCGAAAACTACAGCATCTAAGAACAGACACTTCTCCTGGCCTAGATATGGTCCACTCTGCTATACTGAGGGAAGAAGCTTCAATCCTGGCAACACCGCCTAGCGGGATGTTCTCATACTCGCTAAGTCGAAGAAAACTCACGGGCAATTGGAAGCTGGCTCATATCACACCAATTTTCAAAGGAGGTCGACGCAGCGAAACTTCAAGTTACCGACCGGTGGCTCTTCTCTCTATACCTTCGAAAATCATGGAGTCCCTGATATACGATGGTATACATGACTATCTACTGTCCTTAAATTTCTTCTCACCCCAGCAGCATGGTTTCAGGAAGGATTATTCCTGTATGATCAACCTTCTGAATGCGGCGGACAGATGGACAAGCATCCTTGATCGCAAGGGGAAGGTGGACACCATTTACCTTGATTTCTCAAAAGATTTTGATGGGGTTAACCATATATGTCATATCAATAAGCTCAAACAATTGGGTATCAGACCACCCCTAATTGATTGGCCCAGTTCATATCTGACAAATCGACATTTTAAGGTCAGGGTAAACTTCAATTTCTCACACGCTATGGAATGTCCTAGTGGGGTCCCTCAGGGCTCAGTACTAGAACCTCTTCTCTTCCTGATTTATATAGATGATCTTCCTAAACAGGTATCGTCAAGGTCATTACTTTTTACCGATGGCGTGAAACTTTGGAGAGTGATACGCAACCAAAGGGACATACAGGCACTTCAGGAGGATCTGACTCAACTTCAAACTTGGGCAGACGATAACGGACTTACCTTTAACACTTCAAAGTGTAAAGTAGTCCATCTGCGACACGTCGCAGATTACAGTTACAACTTAGGAAATTCCTCTCTAGCTGTATCCTGAGTCGAAAAAGATTTAGGAGTGCTGGTGTCCTACGACTTAAAGACCTACGACAACTGTGACAGAAATGCCTTTCGAGCAAACCTTGCACTGGTAACATTGAAGCGCATTTTCGGTCAGTTCGATGGAAGAACTTTCCACATAGTCTTTAACAGTTTCATTCGTCCCCATTTAGAGTACGGAAACATAGTATTCCCTCCTACACTCCAAAAGGATAAGGATACTCTGGAGCGTATCCAACGGTGAGCCACGAAATCAGTTCGGGGACTCAAATTTAAACCTTACGAAGAGCGCCTCCAATCACTCGACCTTTACCCATTAGAGTATAGGTGTCATAAAGGTGACCTTCTAATGACTTACAGTATCCTTAACACACCTGGACATCCTGTTAAACACCTACTTAAGCTTAGTCCGAACGCTAACCTAAGGGGTAACACCCAGAAATTAGAGATACAACATAGTAGAACGGACTGCAGACACAACTTCTACTCATTAAGAGTTGTCAAATGCTGAATTTTGTTGGCGGCTGAGCTAGTCTAAGCGACTTCCCAGGAGTCCTTTAAGAGGCGACTTGATCTATTCTTAAGGACTAAGGATAGTATCTTACTATGATTTACCAATTCATTGTTTTTTCTCTTTTATTGTTAAAATACCTAGGTTCTTGCCTAAAGGTATTGGTGATCTCTTGCTGCTAGACACGGAAGCCTGTTAAGCGAAAGCTTCTTCTATTCCGTCCACAACCATTTGAACCATTTGATCTCATAGTCTTACCTTGCCATCATTAACAAGCTAGTCCTCGCCCATTAGTTTTCAGAATAAATATACCAAAGATTATACCTCCCCACCATCAAGAATGTTGTTTTACGGCCTCAACACACATACCAGGGAATGAACAGTATGATAATTTAGCCTTGGGAAGTTTGAAGTTTGAAGTCGATGTATTATCCATCTAAACAATACGCCACATTACTTGATAGTTGTAAGCGGATATGTTTAACGTTCATTATCTTTACGTTAAGTTGATGTAAAACGTTTGATTAGTTTCAATCTTATCTTCCTAGCAATAGAGGGTCCTCAGACTTTAATTGAGTTGTCCGCGATCAGTCTCATCACACCGAAGCTGGAGACGGATTGTGAAGAAATCTCAAGTTGTGAATAAAAATAAAGAACCTCGTGTCGGCTTTTTATAGGATATTGTCCGCCCATTTTTCTAGATCAACCAATCTGAGGATACTCTTTTAAGCCACACTCTCAAGATGTTTTTGGCTCTAAGCAAAACTTGATATTTTCAGTTTAGGGAAGATAGTAGGCTAGATGGCCTGTGTTATTCCTAGCAAAAGTGGTCTCTCAGGTGGCCGAACTTAAATACATCTATATGTGAAGCATTTACACCACTTCAGTCAGTCAGTCCCACTGGTTGGTAATTTTGCATGAGATCCGATATTCATCTAATAGGTAATTGTTCCTGAGCTTGTGAAATTTTTTGGGGTGTCCTCACAAATTTCCATTTCTGGAGAATAAGAATGATGCGGTTGTATCAAGTGCATACTGATATTATTATGTAGTTCCTGAACTATTTATGTCACCTTAGGTCCTTTTGTATGGCATGGGGAACGATTCCTGTTTATCTAGCTACTCGTCTTACGACAACTTTGGGCTTTCAGATCTAAACTTAGCTGCAATGCTTTGAACATTTCCCGACAATTCCCCTTTGTTTTTTATCCAGGTATTGATTGATTGTACGAAGTACTGTAGTTTAGTTCAAACGAACACCACCAAGTCTTCAGTAATAAGAATAGGAGGTCTATCGACCTATATTAATCCTTGCAGTTTGTAATAATGTGGAGGTTCAATCTCGTTTTGAATATATCAACAGAAGGTGCTGATATTATGTGTTCCGGTAGAGAATTTCAGTAATTCACTACTCGGTGTGATAAACAAAACTCCAGAAGTTAACGATTTGATCTCGATTTTTGAACTTTCTTCGAATGTCCTCTCAAATGATCAGTCCTTGACGAAAGTAAAAAATAAGACATGTTAGTATCAAAGTCATCGTTCAGTATACGATAAGCCAATATTGGATCACCCCGTATTTTACGGCAAGATAAGGTGTCTCAGTCTGTCTTCATAAGATAGATCAGATATACCTTGTACCATCTTAGTACCTCGTCGTTCGACTCTTTCCAGCACATCTGCTTCATACTTAAAACAAAGACTCGTTGCTTAAACCCCATATTCTAAATGTGATCGTACATAAATCGGGTATAATAATTTAAAGATTTCATCATCTAAATACTGGAAAGACCTACGGATAAACCATAATACCCTATAGCCTTTCGCAACAGCAGCCTCACAGTGACTAGTGGTCTTGAGGTCGTCTTAATATCTCCATGGCTAAAGACTGTACACATTAATCAAGGGGTTCTAGTACTGTTAGCAGCTATTCCACAGAGATGTCTAGTAGTTTTCGAGTCTTGTGTAAAATTGACTCCCTGATAACTATCTGGACTAATGGTAGTTCAACACTTCACTGTGTATGTATCTACACCTAGGTAACCACCTTGGATCATGATGGACTTGAAAGCATTATTTGACAGTGATCAAGTTATAGACCATTCAGAAAATTTATGTTGGTCTTTCCAAATCTCTAAACTATCTGATTCATTTATCTCTGTATCTTGATTTCATCAATGTGTAACAGGACCGATAATGGCAACTTGGACCGATGCATATACGTGCCTGGTCCTACGTTGTAGCTGACTGACTGACTGAGAGACTAGGAAGGTCGTTTACATTTAGTCCTAAAACCGACATTGGGCACTCCTTTCAGTAGTTTTTAGCCGCCCAGATAATTCAAATTTAACTCGTGCTCTTTGTTGGTGTTCGAGGAAAATTTTTTATATCCACAGAGACGTTACCTTGGATCCCCATATCGCTTAATTTAGATAGCAGTCTTTTCTGTGGGACTTTGTCAAATAGTTTACTGAATTAATTTGACGCTAAACTTATGAGTAGTTCTTAATCTTTCTGAGCACACCAACTTTCTCTTACTACTGATAAGTTTGTAGGTCACGAACAGCTTGTTTTAAAAATGCACTGCTTTCATCTAGACGTTTGAACAACTCCTTGGTAATGATTTTTTTCTAGGATATTAATAACCACACTGATTAAACTCACAAAAAAACAATTCTCAGGCTTATGCCTCGTAAATGCTTTGTAGAGAGGACTTACTGTGTTCTTTCAGTCACTGGGTGGTGTACCCGAGGTTACAGGTACATATACTTAAGGGATTGGCAGCAATGCTGACTAGTGTTAAAGACGGTGGAAGAAATTTAGGGGCGGCCAAACCAAAACGTGACATAGTTCATAAAATCACTAACCTCTGGTTTAAGCCATATTGGTAGATGCAGACTACTTGTTTGGGGTCCGTGCGACTATCGTAACTAATGGTTAGAGACTGGGTGACATGGCCCAGAATCGACCACAGTGGCGTAGGTGTATACACTCTTTGTCTTCCCTTAAACCGTGAGATTAAAATTACCTTTCTTTCTACGAACTAATTTTCCCTGTATTATATCATTGTATGCGATGTTTCTTTTATGTATTGCTACCATTGAAGTAACTGCTATGAATTCGGTGTCAATTTTGTTGTGCCAATGATGTGTGGGAACTTGAACTGATGCATATGTGTGCCTGGTTCTACGTTGTAACTGACTGACTGAGAGGCTTTGTGGTGAAGTATCGTAGTCTGAAAAAACTTAGTAAGTCACGGTAAAACGGAGAGGTACTATACTGAAGTACTGCTTGTACAATAATGTTAAGTTTATGGAGGATTTTTTGTCATGAACAGTGATAGATATTTCTTACCCGTCATAGCTTCTAATGTGTTGCTATTTTGTTGTAGATGTCAAGTGTTGTATTTTACATTCAAGCTTTATTAATCAACCAGACGACGTAGGTTGAATACAGTAGCTATAAAAACATTAAGAAAGGATTTTTGAAGTAATTCAGTGCGTCAAACAGCTGTTGGTTATCACGACATTATTCATTGACTCTCTGCTTTAGTTGCTACCTTGATATTCAGGACTGTCTAGTTTATTTTATTTATTTGAACACATAAATATTGGTACAGGGGGGCACCAAATATATATGCGCCACACAAAACAATGATAATTTGAAGAGAAGGAGAAAAAAAAGTAATGAACGTATGGAATTATAAATAAAAAAAAGAGAGGGAGAGAACAATGATGGGGAAAACGGAAAGGTACAATCATAAGAAATCTTTCAGTTAAGGAAGATACAACCAATTTTTATGAAGAAAGTAAAAGAAGGTTACAGCAGGATCGCCACTGGCTTCTATTCTGAGCCATATCTGATAACGTCTCTAGCCACTGCGTTACACCGTTTCTCGGACCCCAGCCAGGGATTTGTGAAGGACCAACAGAAGCTAGCCCTTTGCAGTTTTCTTTCATACCACGACACCATGTCATATACTGACCACCTCTCCGCTTTTTCCAACCAGTCCCAGAGTCGGCAAATAATGCACGACGAGGAATTCTCTGGGACGACATTCGTAGAACATGTCCAAGCCAACGAAGTCGGTGTCTAGATTAACAGCCTAATCAAGTTACATTGGTTGGAACACATTCCTTGGGGATCTATCGTACTGGCAGATTGGTTAGATAGTGGTAAAACAAAAGTAGCAAACCTAAAGTCTGCGCGGAAATTTGTACTGAATTATAATGACAGTCAGGCGTTTCACACGGATAACTAGCGTATTCGATGATGCTGCCTTCTCAAAACGAAGGAAGTTAAATGAAATCTGACCCTAAAATATCACAACTCACCCTGACCAATGGATGTTTAGTTTGGGCAGCAAGGCCTAAAAAGTACGGAACGAGTGCATGAACGGTTGCTCACAAAGATCCTGTGTGGTTAGGGTTAATCAGGTGTCTCTTCGGCTCTCCATTCACACTTCCAAGTAGTCAACACCACTATTAAACCAGTTTCCTTTTCAGGTTTCACAAAAAATATTTCATGATGGTTGGAGACTCTTGGTGACATGGCTCAGAATCAATCTCAAGGGCTTCGGTGTAGACACTCTTTGTCTTCCTTTAAACTAATAGATTAAAATCACTTCATATTTTTATTCTACGAACTAATTCTTCCTTCCTGCACTATCTCCTTATATGCAATCTTTCTTCTATATATTATCACTGTAGTGAAGCAGAACACTGGTGAGGACAACCGAATTATATTTAGCTCAAATTACAGAGCTAATTGGTAAAATAGAAAAACCATATATTAAATCGTTAATTTGCAAAATATCAATCCTTCATATCAAACTGAACTGTTCCTGTTGCAAATATCAATCCATTGACTGACATTTCATTGTTCATGATTTTTCACACAAATTCCATTGTGTTGCCGCTCTTCCTTTCTTGATCTTCCCCCATCTTCTGCTGCCAGACATTACGTTTTTGACTCGCGTTATATACTACTTATTATATCAATATAAGTAGCGCGCACCACACTCGTCCCCCCTTCTAATAAGCTGTCGTCATAGTCTTTCTGATCGCCGTACCGCTGTCTTCTTTGGTGCTTTTCGTGACTCACACACTTGATAATCTTGAAACCATGTCTGCAATTGACTAGAATTTACGCGCTTCTGCTTGTCTTCTCTCCGGATCGTGTAAACCGCGCCGCATCTCTCTGTGTTAACGTACGGTCCTTCCCACTTTGAGATCAGCTTTCCCGACCATGATCCCCCTGTCATGCTACTTTTCCGTTCTCTACAATTTACTAGGTCCCCCATTGCAAAAGGTTCCCACGTTCCCCTTTGTTGTTCCGCCTTCTTTATGTCTGATATTTGCTTCTTTTCCACGTTCCTGTTTGCCTCCCTCCTCTCTTTTCTTAACCTTGTTGTCGTCCATTTCTGTTGTGGCCAGGTCTTGTTGTGTATTGGAGGTCGTGGTTGTC